TTTAGGGTTTGGGGTTGGGGGTTTTGCGGCCGCAGGTTGTGGGTTTGAGGCTTTTGGGTTCAGGGCTCTTTGCTCTAGGCTTCAGTCTCCGTTGTCGAGTTCAGGGTTGAAGCTTCAAGGTACCGAGTGTCGGGTGCACAGTTCATGGTTTGATGTTTCTTTAGGGTTTAGGGTTTAGGGTTTAAGCAGTTCATGGCTTGATGTTTCTTGTTTCGGGTTCTCCGGGTTCGCGGCCCTGACCGGGACCGTTTTCAGACATGAGGATGTTGGGGATTGGGATTCACCAGACAGTTCGCGTTCCGAAAAACCTGCCAAGCCCTGTGGCCGGTGGCCAATCCTCTAGGGCTCTGCGCGAACCCTGGGATTGGTTGAGTTTTGGGATCTTGGATCATGATTTCTGGGTTGAGAGCATTGAGGCTTTTGACTTGCAGTCGTTTTTCGAAGTCGAGGCTTCGGTGCTCAATCGTCCCCTAAACCGAAAACTCAAAAATGTGAAAGCCCTGAAACTTGCCTGCTTGCTGCGGCTCAGAGGGGACACGTCCCCTCTTCAAGGTAGGTAGCTCCACCCTTGTTCCGGCGAAAAACGAATCGAATCAAGGTATGAGCCAGCTACAAGATTCTTGTGGGGGCAGTTTGGGGGGAAGGCTCTTCTGATTCTTCCCCCTGCGGGGAAGACGCCCGTGAGCAATGCGGTGTCTTGCGGCTCTGGCATGCGCCCTCGCCGCCTGTGCTATGGCGCCGGGGGCTCGGAGTTTTCAACATTAGAGTGCCTTTAGTTTTCCTTGGTCCGCTGCAATGCATAGACATTCTCGCACTCAAACGATCTGTACTTCGGGGCCCTTCAGGAGTCACCGGTTGTCACAGGGGGCATGAGGGGTTGTTTCGTCCGGGGTTGGATGGATTTGAGTCCCTTCGTACTGTAATATAGGGGCCTAAATAATTATATTACCTTTACCACTTTCAGGGTTCCTTATCCCTTATTAGAACACTATATATATATATATACTATCCTGCGCCCCAAAACCCTATTCTAACCCTAAACCCTAAACCCTAAACCCCCCAATTATCAAGGCCCCTACATTGCGGTTCAGGGCAGCAGGGTTGGGCAGGACCTAGGAACCGCAAGTGAGTCCCCGAAAGAAGGCACCAGAAAGCCTCCAAGTCCCCTACTCCGCTCCTACACGTCCAACCCTAAACCCTAAACCCTAAACCCTAAACCCCAAACCCTAAACCCTGTAAACCCTAAACCCCCAAAAGTAGAACCCTAAACCTTCAAAAAGTCACAGTTACCGGGTCGGAGTGACTCCGAAGACTGGTCCCACGAAAAGGTTTAGGGTTTAGGGTTTAGGGTTTAGGGTTTAGGGTTTAGGGTTTAGGGTTTAGGATGTAGGGTTTAGGATGTAGGGTTTAGGGTTTAGGGTTTAGGGTTTAGGATGTAGGGTTTAGGATGTAGGG